ACATGACTTCAAAATTTAATTTTATGACTCTTCAGCCAATCATAAAACTCGGTTAGTAAAAAACATCCAATACGAACCGTCAATTCTTCAGTCCACGTGGACTAGCTGGCAGCGGCTTTATCTCTTTGTACTGGTTTTTTTGGCCTTTGAGGGCGCCGATAGCTTTGAGTGTTCACAATAAAGATTACTTCAACTATACCTATTACATTTGTTGAAGTCAACAAGAAGTTTTAAAGGTCACGTTCAAGTTCAATTTTTTTTTAATATCTTGGTTCATACGGAAGTGCAATGAACTTTGAATCCATGTCTTTTCGAAAAATCGAATATTTACGAAGATTCCCAACAAATTAAGGTTTCCTAATTAACTTGTCAACAATATTTGAGAAATAACTATTGATAGTATTTTTCCCCATATCGTACTTTACTTAAGGGGACCGTAACAAGCCTAACAACAGAAAAGTTTAGACCTGCCATTTTGTGTTGTATATAATGGTGAGAGCATGGTGAGAGCTTTAGATACAAATTCAGTTCTTTTGACCTGGTAGTCATCCCTAATAAAAGGTAAAATTGGAAACTCTGGCGAAGAATAAACGCCAGCGGTTCCAGTTTTACCTTTTATTACGGATGGCTACCAGGTCAGCGGAACTAAATTTGTATCATAAGTTCACTACTAAGATTAGGTTAGTAGGCGTAGATATTTGGTTTTTGAAAAAATGTCTTCGTCGTAAATCTGTTTTTCCAGGTTAATATTCCAGAAAACTCTTCCATTGCGGAGAAAGTATTGAACTTCGTCAGACGGAAATAAGACAAATGTTCATAGTAATTGAATCAAAATTCAATAAGAAAATTGCCCTTTTCAACAGAAAAAAGAGTTGAGAAAACGAACAAAAAATCGGCTAAAGAAACGAGCAGTTTCAAAGAAAGTTATCAACATTGTTGAGAATCTTTTTAGTCAGTCTTTTGATAAGGAAAAACTTGATCTATTATATAAGGGTTTGAAATTTGGTTTGGGCCGAGCAGAGTCTTCGAAGATGTTATGGTCAGTGTTGAAAATTCAACTCAGCAGCAAAGATCATCGAAGATTGGAGACGAAAGATGTTTTCTATCTGAAAGCAGACAAAGGCAATACGGTTTTTATATTGGACAAGTCAGATTATTTTGAGATAATTGATAATATAATCGAGAATGGTCCTTTAATAAATTTCCTAGGAACCTATTGCCTAAAATGGTTTCAGAAGTGAAAAACACACACGAGAAATGTCAAAATTGGAACACACCGGCTTCAAACAGGAGTCTACAGGTTTTAAATCCTACAGTTCCTAAAATATACGATCTATCAAAAATTCACAAGTCTGGTAAGTCGTTGTAATGGTCTCCGCCATACATTCTCCGACTTATGAATTTGATAAATGACTGAACAAACAGTTTGAAAGTTTCTCAATCACACAACTAAGTTTGAGTGTTGTCAATTCATATGATTCCATAGAGAAGATTGAGGGTGGGAGTTGCGAGATGAGGAGATTTTAGTATCATTTCATGTAGTATCATGTCTTCGTTGTTTCCAAGTGTCCCCATACTAAAAACTATTGAATATTTGAGGGATCTTCTGTAGGTCAACGGTCTCAGTGGAAAAGTAATCGAAGACTATATATGAATAACAAAAATCTGCATGGAACAGAATTGCTTACAGTTCAACAACTGCGGTTATTGATACAAAGAAATCAAAGGGAGAGGACTTTGTTTCAACTTTTAACAACAGAACCCCAAATATCAAGTTCACATATGGAATTGAAAATAACGAAGAGTTGCCATTTTTGGATGTCCTGGTGATTGGAATTGACCAGGCTGTAGAATTTGATGTTTACAGGAAGAATACCAGTACAACACAGAATGGCAGGTTTAAACTTTCTTGTTCATAGGCTTGTTACGTTCTCCTTGAGAACGTACTTCGGAAAAAGGTACGATATTAAATAAAATTTCCAGGGGCATAGCTGGGATCAATGCGTATTCTTCAATGAGTTGATTAAGAAACGTAAATTTGGGGAGAATCTTCATAAATATTCGACTTTCCAAAAAGAAATGGTTTCAAAATTTATTGTCCTTCCATATGAACCAAGAGACACTAACGAATTAAATCGAATTTTCAAACTAGACAAAATGTTGGAAAATGAAAAGTCGGGGATATATGAAATGAACTGTAAGGACTGTGACAAATATGAAGCGGTCAAACGAAACGAGAGCCATTAGGACTTGTTTCAAAGAACACGCAGTACATATCCGATTTCGAAGAACTCAAATATCTAGTGTCGCCCAACACGTCTTGGAGAACGGATAGAATAAATGAAAACTGACTGAAATTCGTGAGATCGGTGCATGACACTAGATTTTTTGATGCTTTCGAAAGTTTGGAGGAAGCAAAGTGTGGCATGAGAACTATGAACAGTGATAACGGTCTCATTCCAAACAGCCCATTGAATTCCTTTTTATGAATCACACTGATGAAATCTGTAGAAACTTTCACGAGAAAATTTCTCGCAAATTTCTATCCGAAATCATTAATGCGTATCCGAAAGTGAAAGTGTTTCTTGTTAGATATAAATTAGGAATTTTATAGTTAGGAATTAATTTTCTTCGTCTCCTGAAGACACCAAATCGGTTGGTAAAACACGCGTCGAGAAAAGTATCGCATTTTTGGATATTGCTTGTTTTGGTTTTATTCTTCGTCAGATGTTTCAGTTTTATTTTTCATTGTCTTTGATGGTAAATGAACATCTCATTTCCCATCTTACCTTTCAATTTGAAGCAAAATAAAGTTTGCTGGGTATATTTGTTAAGAGTATTCGTTTGCCGTATCACATGAGTAGGTGTGTTTTTTCTTCTAGTGCTAATTGATAATAGCCAATTGATGTTCCAATAGTTTATTCAGAGAAGAGGTTGTTGTCAGATCAGTCAATTTTTTACTAAATGGGTTTGAAAAACATGCACATAAACTAAAAATATAATGCCTTTGTGAAGTGTAAAAAAACACAACAACATTGATCAAACGAGAAATGAAACTGACGGGCACCAGAAGAGAGAGAAATCACAAACAATGGTGGTCGGAGTTCATTCCGCATACGTAATGAAAATTCATAAAAAAATTATATTCGTGTTCGATAGAATAGATAATTGACGACAAAAGCAAATGTTGTTGACAAAAGTTGAGATAGAAGTGGCAAATATAAATATATATTTCATTACAAGTAACTGGACATATAAACGACATTAAGATTTGTTTCGTCATAATAATACAGATAGTTGTTATTAAAGACTTCTGCTAGAGTCATTGCGTTTTGAAAAAATGAATCTTTAGAAATGAAATTTCAGAATATTCCTCTCTTCCAACTACCTACACAGTAAGATTTTGATAATGCCTGCCGGAAAACAACTACTTCCCCGGCTAATCCGACAGATATTCATGTAAGGTACCTCACAGAGGTAAGTCTCGCAGGTATTTCTCGTTTATCCAGCTACAGATTCATGCTGAAATTATTCAAGTAGATCACCTACAGACCGGTTTCGAGGTATTACCTCTCATCCGTGCGGAAAAAGCCGACGCAAAGTGTCTGGGACTCGATTAATTTCAACGCGGCTCGACTGCATGTATGAAACCTTCTTCTAAGAGAAATATTGTTAACTAGCAAGAGCTCCATCTGGCGAATCTACTGTGTCTGTATCTACTGGAATAATTTCAGCATGGTTCTGATGCTGGATGCATGATTAACATCTGCCAGACTATCTTCTGTGGTATTGACCGGTTATTAGTCGGGAAAGTAGTTGTATTCCAGCAGGCATTTATCAGAACCTACTGTGTAGGTAGTTGGGAGAGATGAATATTTAAAAATTTCATCTTCAGACACGTTTTGAATTTTTAGACTGAATGTTTTGTTATTCTTTCGAAACAGAGATTTTTATTTTGTTGGAAAAAGCCATCTCTGGCCATATTGTTTTCATAATTCTTTGATAGAGATATCAATATCAAGATATCAATAAATCTATACTTATATNCTTGACTAAAATTGAACTTACCATCGTTACAAGCTAATGCTTCTGGATCAGTAGGATCAATCCACCATATAGGCGGGTTTACCGGTGCTCCACTACGAATACATTCTTTCATAGCGTCTATTATAACACTGGAATAGTGCTTATGTAAATTCACGAATTTCTTTACTAAAGCCGGTGCATTAAACTGAAAAAAAAACAAACTGATATATTTTTAATATATGTTGCGAATCGTACGTTAGGAATCGTATGTTAATAGGTAAGATCTCGTCAATCATCAGCTTGGACAAGTTTCAAATTTCGGAGTTGGTGTGCTCAGGTAGACGATTACTAGCTGAGAGAAAAATTCATATTGAATCTTCGTTTACAATTTATCTACTTCATTATGATATATTCATTCGGGTTCCACGTAAATGATATTAAGTATTCTATTATAATTGCTATAAAATCAAGTGGTTTTTCGAATAACTTCTTACGCAAGGTTTGAGTCACAAATAGGTAAGTGAAAAGTGAATGATCTCGAGAACATGGTTGTAATAAGCACTTGATATATCGACGAGTCAAAAACCCAACATGTATTGTGACCTCAGTGATGAGAAAGTTTGTAGAACCTCTTATTGGTTATTTCAAAAATAAAATGTGAAGTTTGCATTCTCTATTCAAAAAACACACTGCAATGTGAGATTTCCACTTGAAAGTTCACAAAACCGCGGTTTTATCTTCATTTTTATTGTATTTCTAGACAAGAAGGTTACCTAGTGTAATTTCTGTCGGAAATAAGTAGGACTCCGTGAAGCCACTTTAATTCAGTAATAATAATAATAATGATGTATAAGTGAATGAATATTACAAACAATATAACAGATACAAGAGAACAAATGAACAGAAAAATCACAGAAGCAGTTTAGACTGCTTGTATGTTATATGATATAGTGACACATCTGAGTTTCAATGAGGTCGGATGTAGGTCAAATTTTCAATAAGAGACATATGTGAGTTAAATTTCACACTTTGGTAAATGCCATAATGAAGAGAGAGATTGGTCTCTTTTCCCCTATTTTACTTTGTATTACTCATTTGCAATTTATAATATTGCTAAACATGCCAAACATAATATTTCCTAGAGGTATTTAGGGAAAACAAACTATTCATATAGATAGTAAAGAGAAGTTGCCCTAGTCCAGTCCTTGAGGAACGCCATAAGTCATAGTCCTGGGCATACCTATAAGAAAACCATCCAGTTCCACACTCCGTTCACGCTCTGATAAATAAACAGAGCAGAAGATCGTAATGTCTTCCCTCGGATGCCATAGTTATTTAGTTTTCCCAAAGTATTTTTGTGACAAACGGTGTCAAAAGCTTTGGAAATGTTTATAAATATACCAAGAATTGGTATTTTCCCATCCAAAGCAGTGTATAAGTTAGTGTATAAATGGCGTACTCGGCTGACCTGCCTTCTTTAAAGCCGTACTGATATTCTGACAATACACTGAATATATTCAAAAAATTAGTAAGTCTAATTTTTAAAATCTTCGAAATATTAGAAAGTAAGGAATTTAGTCTATAATTACATATATTTCATTCTCCCAATTTTTATACTGTGGTTTTATTATTCCATATTTTGATACCCTTGGAAAGCATCTGGAATCGAACCATTTGTTACATAAGAATGTTATTGGTGACCATATGTCATTGGCTATTTCTTTCAAAGTTTCTGATTGGTAGTTATGATAACCGAGTGACTTTTTTTATTTTAATTTTTTTATTATTTCCATGAACTCGGGTTCGTTTGTGTGGTAACGGTGTTTCAGATTGATAGACTCAATTCTATAATTTTGTAATTCAGGTATTCCGTTTGCCAGTTTTTCCCCAATTCGCTATGATGCTTATTGAAATTATCGGCAATCTCCATTTTTTCTATGATAGACCCATTATCCAATTCAGTGTTATCGGTAACTTCTTATTGGGCTTTTCTCCACACACATTCCTTATGAACTGCCAAATAGCTTCAGAATTATTTTTAGTTTCTTGTATTCGTTGGGAATAGAAAGTTTTTTTTTGCCATTTAAATAATATAATGAAACTCGAAAACTGTTTAAAAAAATAAATTGAAGAAGGCACTACCATTCGTAAAATGCACACGATGGAAGTTTTTAGCCTCATGAAATAAATTAATATACAGATAAAGATTACAGTCATTCAAACAAATCTTGATAAAACTTAATATACTGATAATAAAACATGGAAATGGACTACTGATAACAGGTTCATTTTTCTTTTTCATTCCAAATATGGAATCGGCACCTGAATTCTTAAATACTGTCAAGAAAATGTCTCTGAGTAAATCCGATGGCTCAGAAAACCTCAAAAAAACGGCTCAGCTCAGATAAACGGAATGTGTACCCGACTAGAAACCACAATTAGTTCCGCAGAAGTTTGTATTCACCTGTCTATGTTGTAGAAGTATAAATGATGAAAAATACTGTAAAAGTATTGTATACTACATAGATGTACATACTCAACCCGAAATTCACCAAACAAATTGAATTTCTCAGTTGAGAAAGCCTTGCAAATAGCTATGTGAAGAAAGGATTTCTGTCGTTGAATGAACTTGGTTTTCTGGTGAGGATCATTTCAGTGTAGATGCATGAACAAGGTGGACAAAACTTCATTCATCAACTATACATATTCAAGAAACACTTCATTGAGAAATTTTCACTTAGTGAACATCTCACAATAAAGTGAGATTTACTTAGTGAATCTCTCACTATGAAGTGTTTCTTGGATACTTTATCGATGTTCATCAAAAATCGGCCGATTTCATCACATACTTATTATCTTGTTTGAAAATCGCTACATGCCATACATACCATTCCGACGGTCTAAAATACCCGCCATACTTCCCTCAAACATTTGAGGATTTTTCAATATTCGAAAAACTATTTCTATAAGTATGGCAGTTAAATCGTGGTCACTTTATGATTTTTTTATATCAACAGATAGTTTTTTTTCTCCGACATCATCCATAAAGGAAATGTAACAATTCGTATAGCTCTACTCAAAGTAGAGCCATACAAAGTAGAGCTCTACTCAAAGTAGAGCCATGAATATGATACCATAGCCAGTTATCGAAACGGCTCGCATGTAATAAATAGAAGTTATAAAGCTTCAAATCCTTTTTGTGACATATGTTAATATTAAAATAGTGGAAATGGAGGAAAATTAGTTGCATCATTTAAGTATTTAACAATTTAAAAGTGTGAATTATGATTTTAAAAAGCAAATTTATTTCTTAACTGATTATTTAAACAATCAAAATATACAAAAATCGATTTTGAACAATTAAAAATTAAAATTAAGAGAAATTGTTTCTTAATCATAATCATATCTAATGAAAGCACCATACTGTAAGAAATTACTTACCAAAATCATTCTTCATTTCCCGGTTTGATGTCAGTACGCTCAAATATATAGTTTAAATTAAATTCTCATTGTTACAAAAATTGGGATATTTGGTGTTGAATATTCACGGTTATAATAACGGAAACTAACTTCTACCTATATCACAAAAATCCATTTAACGATATACCTTTTTCAATACGAAAAATTCCAAATTGCAATGAATTCAAAAAATAAATTGTAAAATTCATATTATCCCTCCCGAGAGACACGGGTGGGATAATATGTGAATGTGAGAAAATGCACTTTACGGTGGTAAAAATTACAGAATCATTTTTAGAAGCCAATATTTAGGAATCCTTCCTAAAGGTTCAATTAATCGAATAGAAATTTATTTAGATCTAAATTTTACTAACTTGTGAAAACTCACTTCAGTGCTGGTAATATCCCAAGGTAAATAACTGAACTGCATAGCTGGCATGAACGTATTTGCTTGGGTCCAACGAACAATCAATTCAGCTGTGGGAACTTGGCCGCTATACCCATTTCCACCTATCATATCTGGTAAAACCCTAAAATAGTTATAAATTTAGATAAGTTGACATAACACTCTTTTTCAGAGTTAATTTTCTGTCATTGTTTTGATACTAACATCGTATATCCATTCATATTCAATTGTAGGAGAGTGGTAATGAGTGTAGGTAATCCATTGTCCATTGTCCAAGAAGTATCCTTGTCAAGCATTCTGACAAATATGGGCAAATCTTGTGTTCTGAAAAGAAAACGGATTTGGGTACCTAAAGTTTCAATTTCTTCCTATTCTGATAGGTAATTATTTTCAGTTAGATGAGATTAAATTTACCTCCAAGCTGATCTCACTTCAACAAGATCTCCAAATCTGGCACATGTCCTCACGTACAGTTCAGTGAAAATATTGGGTATGAACTCTTCGTCAACATTCTTGTAAACTGCGGGCTGGAATTGAACGTGGTTGAACATTGAACAATAATAACAATAAATTCGATATTTATGTAAAAGAAGTTTTCATTTTGTACTATAGGTTTTATTATATTGAAATAACGAATTTGATCACATATCAAATTGTCTAAACGATCAATTCTTTCAGGCCAGTCTCAACTCACCCACATTGTAGGTTAATGGACTGGCACCTATCAAAAAACAACCACTCCCCGGATTAATACCACGGAGGGCATTGGATTATATCCGACAGGTGGTGCAGGATTCTTCACAGAAGCAATTCCTGCATATGATGTTGGCGATTCAACTACTAGAATCGATTTTCTACCCCGGTCGGATATAATCCAACGCCCTTCGTGGTATTAGCCAGGGAAGTAGTTGTTTTCTAATAGGTGTCAGTCCATTATTCTACAGTGTAAGTGTGTTGAAACTGGCCCAACTAAATTGTTCTTTTAGATAATTTGATTCACAGCCAGCCTTCAAATGTCTTCTCACTATATGTGTTGATCACATATGTTTAAAACATTCCATATTTTGGGGAAAAAAATTTGACTTTCTACTTTTCCATCTTCACACAAAAAAATGTGGGAATCTAAAAAATGGGAAAAAAATTTAATTTCAAAATAAACTCTGTATAAAGATGTGAAAATCATGCAAATACGTAATGTTCAGACAAAAACTACAATTAAAAGCCATTTCGAAAAAAAACTATTTTCACATATTTTCTACTGTTTTTTTTTGGAAATCTGCTGAAGTATAGTGAAGGGCAAACTGAAAAGTTCACCTTGAAAAGTTACTGAATTACACTAAAGATAAAATATCTTCAAAACAACCCCTTTTATATGAGTATTGAATTACACAAAAAACCCTTTCTTTTTCAAAAATCAATCTCTGCTGAAAATATACCATCTTCAATTCCATATTCATTCCACGATTTTATAATACAGGTTTCTGCAGTTTATAAGACCGTTACATGCGTTTCATTAAACTGGGGCCACACTAGCGGCTAACGTCAATGTCCATTATCGCGATTATTATCGCGAAAATTTTTTGCCAAAAAAATTATCCTATCAAATTTGTCTATTTCTAGTCATGTGTGTCGAAATAACCAATGAAACCATCATTACACTGATAACTACCCATGGATAGTTTTCACGGGTAGTTATCACTTATGTCATGACATTGCTAAGCAACCAACACAATAAAGTTGTTTGACATTTCAGTAATTCAATTTATTTCGAAAATGTCACTTCCTCGCTTTGGTGTTCAAAATAATGCGGCAATTGACAAAATCATTGAAGAAAATACACCAAAAAATACTGTCAATAGTAAAAAATACACTTGGAAAATATTTATGGAGTTTTGTGACGCCAGAAAATATGAATTCTAGCTAAGAGTGGAGTTCAAGAACAGCAATTGTTGAAAATTACTGGGCACAATAATGGAAATTCCATAAAACCTTATTTGAATTTTGATCAGGAACATCATAACCAAATAATCAATAGTATGCGTGGAAACACCTATGCAGTAACCGAGGCAAATACAGCAAGATCAACGGAATATCATTATACGAATTGTTCTTTTAATAACTGTGTGTTCAATAAATAATTTTGTTCGAATTGCAAAAAATTTTCTCACCGAATATCCCTCGAACATTGATAAATAACTCATAATTTTATCACAACTTCCTCAAGCACGTTATTTTAGGTAACATCCCTCCGTCTTCGGCGTCGGGATGTTACCAAATAACGTGCTTTCGAAAACTGTGATGAAATTATTTCGTTAGTTATCAATGTCCTTGGGATATTATAGCTGATAATTTTTAACGCGCTAAAGTGGGTGGCTACACTTTATACGGTCAACGTGAATGCCCATGATTGGCGATGAAAACGGCGTTAATTTTACTTGGAAGATGGAACTTGACAGTGACACTGACGTAGTGTGGCCGCTTTATCGCATTAATTCTCGCGTTAATCTCTTTGATGTACCGCCACTTGAGCTATCGCCCAACGCCAAACGGCAATGTTACTTTCGTTGTCAAAATATCGCGTTAAGTCGTGGCTACACCTAGGGTTAACGTCAATTATCGCGATAATTAATGGCATTTCTCGTTAGTGTGGCCACAACAACCCAACAGCTTCTTGAGGCGTGCCCAATACAAAATGAAAATGTCTAAAGAAACTATTGTATGAGGAAACATCTGTAGTAAACTTGTAAGTGAAAATTTGACAATACAGGATAGGAACATGGTCTTTCGAAAGATAAAAATTAGGTCTGGTTTGCCGTGGTCGAAAAAAACTTGTAGCACCACTTCACTGCGAGAACTCACTAACGACTAACTGGGGAGCTCAGCATTTACTCGTATTAATAGTAGTAGGGTATGGGGGTGATGTGTCCATGAGAGTGGTCACTCCTGAATGGTTGGCACTTTTCCTAGGTTGTTTTGATTGGTTATTGACGAACAAGCTGCTGGTAAGATGTCGATCAGAGTTGAATTTAATTACATTGCTGGCTTACTTGAGTACCGGATACCCCGTTGTGATGACTCTAATGCCTTCTTTGCCTTATGCAAGGAGCTTCCCAGTTTGTCGTTGACCCACAATGAAGTGACACTTGAATACAGTAAGTGTTAGCCAATTTTGTCACACTGAATCAATGTTTGAGAAGGCTCACTTGGGGAGAGTAGTCCGTTTCACCAGCGTCAAACTTGAAACTTTCTATTTTAGGATTATGTTTTAATTTTTGTACTCTATTGGTCCACCATTTAACTGCTTCTGGATTCGTGAAATCGATTTGATGCGCATCTTCAGAATTCCACCAGCTACCATTTGTCATACCCTCAGTATTTGCGACGAAATAACCTGGAACAACAAATTCATTAACAACTAATAAAATACTGATCATTTTCCATCAAATTGAATTTTTTTAAAAATCCCAATCCTTAATTATTTTCACGTTAGTTTGTTTCCGTTTACAATAAGAAATCGTGTTGGTTACCCTGGAGAGGTATGGTGCTATACCGAAAGCTTGACAAAAAACAAAGACGTTATCTAACTATCAAAGTTAAGGCTTCTCATATTTTCAAATATGTTTTATAGTGAAAACTCATCAAGCTTGCAACGGCAGAGTTACTAGTTTGGTATAATTCCACTCATATCTTTCAACTCCATACATGTTGGTTTAAAAAAAATGTCCTTGTTAAAACATGGAAGTGTTCAGTGTGGTGTGGAACTTGTAAACCAGCTGAATATGATTATTTTTTCACTTGTCATCATCTTTAGAAAAAAATCTAACTTCTCCCTCTCTTCAATGTTTTCTGCTCGAAATATCATTTTATTATTATTCTTGCTCTTTATTGGTAGCTTGTGGTTCTGAAAAAATATTATTCTTCGTACAAGAACTTACGAAATGTCCAGCACTGATTTAATTTAACTACTTCAAATCTTCCCATCAGTTGAACTGCTCATTTCAAAATAAAATCAGAAGAATGAATTGTTGCACCTTCCTAGTTAAGATCAAGGTAGAGTGACAATTGAGAGCGAAAAAATCGTCAAGCGACGACAAACGCATGGTTCCAGTGAAATGTTCATACCATATACCATGAAATCTACTATACCTGCTTATTTCAAAACGAAAGCAAAAGATTGAGTTTTTGCACCTTTCCAGTTTAGAGTAACACCTGAGTGCGAAAAATATCGTCAAACGACGACAAAGACATGATTCTAGTGAAATGATACACGTGTTACTTGAATACGTTGTGGATTTTTATCAAGTATCGGCCAATTCCATCCATTATTCCTAATTTGGAAATCATGATTTATGTTAAATATATAAAAAAAGAAAGTAATGCAAATTATGAAATTATAAAACAACAAAAATTAATTGGCGCTCCGGGAGACTTGATTCATTCCAGTAGCGCATTTGCTTTTTCAGCGGCAGGAAAACCCAGAAAAACCTGCAGCACCACATCGTCTGAAGATCTTGATCTGCCAATGTCCTCTTTCATAGAATGAAATGTAGGGTGTCTCTAGAGGCTCCAATAAGTTCATGATATTGCCAGAATATTTAGTGACACGACTATCGTCAAACTTAAATTAGTCTGTTTCGTCTTTGACCAATGCGTAATAATGACCAGATTCGATGCCAGAATCACAGTGACCAATGACTGCATGAAGATTATAATAGATGCTAGATTGTTCAGAGGTTGAGTCATGTTTGAAGATCATCACTGTTATTATTAGATTAACTGGTGCCTCAGATATACTTGTTGTATTATAGTAGTCAGTTTGTTTGGCGCATATTTGGCGATACAGTGGATCATCACCCGTTGAAAGTTCTATTTTCACATAATTTAACAATAAGCTTTGCACGGATTGGTTATAGGTCATATTAGGAAGCGCTAGTTGAAGTGTCAGAAAGTCACATACGTTTTTACTACCTCTTAAACATATACTACAGAGTAAACTAGTGAGGATTTTTGCAGCAAAAGATCTACAAATACAAGACGAGATATACTGTACGGAATCATTCAATCCAAAGCGGTCAGGAGTATTGATTCTGCTATTTTCCTGCTCACGAAGAGTATTCAACAAGAGCCCCAAGAATTCGGAACAATCCTCTTGTTGTCCCAGGGAGTATCTAGTGGACTCCAAAGACTCTAGGAAATCGGTTGGTGGGAAAGATGATACATTCTTACGAAACTGCAGCTGTATGATTTATTGTCAGTCTTTCCATCTATCTCATTTTGTAGTGAACAGAACGGTTTGTTGTTAAAAAAGTAATAAGGTGGAGTAGGGCAAGTGCAGATTGGTTTTTATAAAGTTAGACTTTAAACCTATAAATATCCAATGTGTAACAGGAATACGTTATATCGCTGGCGAATAAAGCATTATGTAAGTATTGTTTCGGAAAATTTGTTATCACTGTCCCTGTTTTGACTTTTATACTCACATAATAACAGAATATTTCACTACATGTCAATAATCCGCACTTCCCCGTCAAAACGGGGCAAGAGCGTACATGCCAGTTAAAAGCATAATGAAACCTTATTCAAACTTCTACGGGGCAAGAGCGTAATTCATAACAAATCTATATTCAACTGCTTTTCGCCGTATTCAGTTATGTTGCTTGGTTTCAGAGTTGTTTTCATTGAAAAATACAAACATCTTTTGGTGGAATTTTCAGCAAGGGTTTGGTTTATTGAAACGTCTGCGTATTGTGGAATATTAGAGCAAGCTCTTTTGTACCCGTAAATAAATGCAGTAAGTATAAGGAAGAACACTCTAAAAAAACACACTAAGTATGTATTTATACTGGCACTGGTCCCAAATATTTTTGCCATTAAAAATTGTTTCGTCCAGGTTCCAGATTCTACTATGTTCGTTTTCTGACTTTAACAACTTGATTGTATTTTCCAACAATGTGAACTATGTGCCAATTATGAATGGATTACAATTTCTTTTGCGGGCTACCTACACGCTTTGTGGCTTTTTTATCAACGAACTATTTCTTTTGGCGAACCCAAGAAACCAACACCGGGAATTCCGTCGTTGAAAGATGTCTTAATCTTGTTAAACTGAACGAACTGCCCAACAATCTGTAGTACTTTCTTTCTGAACAAACCAAATCCATATTTCTCCAACTTCAGAATACCCTCAGCAAGTCGTTTTTCGTCTTGGATTGGAAACTCTCTCTCTCTCTTTCTACATGTGAATAACTGTAATTTGATTCATATAATAATAAATATAGCCGATAAACGCACTTGCCCCCGTTACGCACTTCCCTTACTGAATAAATGTATGGGTTTATACTAACCTTTAGCAATTCCTTCGTTGGAGTTATTTTGGCAATCGCTGTTAACGAAAGGGTGTATCCAAAGAGAGACTCTGAAGTTCATATCTTTCAGTGTGCCTACGGTTTTCGCTATATCCGAGAATTTGTCTGGCGTAAATTCCTGAGCTCCATAACATTTCTGAAAAATGTATAACCACAAAAGTTTTGTTACCTTACTCCATCTAGATAAGATGATCTTTTTCTTTATAATGTACCCTATTTGAACATGCCATATAAAGCATGCCCCATGCTTTACATGAAATGTCTGAACATTTTAAAATACCTTCACACCTGATTAATTTTTTTTTTCATAAACTACACCTAAGGATTTGATCTCCACAAAATTTATTTTTCAAAATGTCCACAAACTTTATATGAAAAATAAAGTTTGTGGAGATCAAATCGCGAGGTGTAGTTTATGAAGTTTTTGGAGATCAAATCGTGAGGTGTAGTTTATAAAATTACTATGGATTTTCATCAAGAAACGGCTGAATCGATCAGAAAATTATTTGATGATGATTGGGGAGAATGAACACGTGTTGATTTTTTCTGATAAGGAAATTGGATCAGGAGAATCTATTTGAATTTTGAGAGATTCAATGAATCACAGACGAGAATTGGATTACTAATTGAAGATTGAATGTTTTGTTGTGCAAAAATTTCAGAGAGATTTTGAATCACAGTTTCTTCCATCAACTGAAACTGAAGTGAAAGTTGTTGATGATATCACTTTTTTGATCGATAAATGTCACTAAAATTGACGTTTAATGGTTTAATGGTATGTTTCACTAGAAACATACACAGGGTCAAAGTTTGGTGATTCTGGCGGTAAAAATAAACACGGTTTCAGACAACTCATTCGTTCTTCATTTAGTTCATAGTAGTCATTTTTCAGATTTAGAGGCCCAGTCTTCATTGTCTAATGTCTAATATAACTCCAGTCACTCATTTGCTTTCTAGAGAAATTCAATTTGAGTATTCTGAAATGATCTCCTTCTTTCCTGATGATCACTATTTTGATGAACTAGGTAATTGAGATTATCATTAGTATCATTAGTAACACTTGTCATCAGAGCATTGAGAAAATTTTCCTTTAGGCAAAGAAAAATAAGACGTCATTGGAAAAAAGTTTCTTTGTACCTTCTCAAATATAGTGGATAAGTTAATTGGAAAACAAGAACATAGAATATCTTAAAAAATCCTCCACCATTTGAAAATCGATGAATAAAGTTTATGATTGTTTCATATGAACCAAAATACATCATGAGGTTGGTCCGACGAAATGAGACAAAAAATAGTTTGGTCAGACTAATCGTACTACAACAATTTGTTTCGAGGAGCACGTCTCACGTATTCAATTTCGTAGACCAGAGAAGTCAAGTGTCTTTCAACATACGTACGTGACTGGTTTGAAAGGTTTAGGAATCAAACAATGTGGAATCAGATCAATAAACAATGACGAAGGTTTCGTTCCAAACAGTGTTGTACTTTGTACACAAATCATGAAAAATAAACGTCGATAGGAGAAAAAAAGAATAGTACAGGTACTACATTGTGATGTATTTGCAATAGACAGGTCGATGATAGAAAACTCATTTTGTAATTTTAAATTTTATGGCTTCACTTCAGAAGTTGCAGTGAAGGTCATCTAAGTACAAAATTAGAGTCTATTGAAAACCTGAATACATAATTCGCAGTACTCTCATGATAAATAAACCACGAAAACCAGGTAGCAACTGGAGTTGCTCCTACCAAAGTGTTCTGGTTATCCTCAAAGCAGTTATTACTTTGGGAACAACGAGAAAACTTGTTTGTGATGTTTTTAAAGGCCATTCTGTTCATATTCAGTTAAATACTCACTTCCCAGTTATCGTCGATTTCTAATTGTCCATTTTCATAACCATGATTTCTGATATCTTTTGCGAATTCAAGAACAGTAGATTCGCTGATATCCCTTTTATATTTAGCCCATGTAGTCCAAATTGGTTCCGATATCATTTTAGTATTTGGATGTCCTAAATGACAAAATTTAAAAATTTAGTTTAGTTTTGGACAGATAATCTAATCTTATGATTTGAGTATGGATATGAGCATGGATATAAGGGTATAGCCATGGTTATGTTTGCTCTGGAAACAAACTATCCGAAAGTTGGGTTTTGTAAAAAAGTTTTTGACTACATATTAATAAATTGACAGATGTAGCTGTTACTATATACGTGGTAGGATATCATCATGAAAAATGAGAAATAAAACTTTCCATGTTTTTTTACTACTTGAATTTGTAACTGAAGTCCTATAAGGGCATTTTCAAACGCACACAATAGTGATTAGAAAATGAGAAAGTTTTATTTTTTATTTTTCACTATATATTAAAGTGAATTGAATATTTTCATCATTGTTTAACTACAACATTGAAGGAGAATAGACATATTTTGAAACCTCTTTCTGAGTTGATCAGAGCAGTGAAGATGAATGTGGTCATTAATTAGGCCAATATCGAGGTTAAAGGCCGAACGCATTCCACTGTTGAATTGGAGATTTTTTTGTTTCGAGAAATATGTAGCTTTATCAAGTGTTACTGCCGAACTAATTGAAAAACTGAAGTAAGTTCAATTCAATGCAATAAAATTTTTCAATACTCGAAAACGACGAAAACTCAAGTAGCCTTGTTGTTCAAAATTGAACGAAAAGTTCAAAAATAAATTTCATTTGCGGAAAATCCGTAGGCGTTTTTTCTTTAAAAATATCGAAGTCAATTCCCGCACCCACGTCACTGTGGAAGTTGATTTTTTTTATTGAAAAATCAAAACTATTATCAATTATTACTGCTTACCAAATATCACTAAAATGTAACAAATTGTTTTGGAAGTATTGAATAATTTTATTTTTTCTCAAAATTCAACACCCCGTATTTTCGTAAATGAACATTTTCGACCTTAGCTTATATAGCAACCTATCATTATTTTTTAATGTTAATTCACACCCTCGAATATTCATATATTATTAAGGAACGCCCTGTATATGTATGTAATTTTTTTGTATTATTGTTGTGAATATTTTTATAAATTGGGTAATTTTCGATAAGAGGCTCGTCTAACCTTAATTAGATACATAGATGTTATTATAGATAATAAAAATTATTCTCACCTGTGGGTTTGCCCAAATAATTGTTTATGGCATCAAGATGAGTTTCTTTTGCGTCAGATCGGAACACTACATCATAGTACAGAGTTATCTGCAAAAAATATACATGAATATCACTTATTACAATGTGACTGGGTTTCATTTCCATTTTCTGTATTTCAAAACGGTGTGATTATAAATAATGTTCATTTTACGATTCTGGTTTCCAAGTTCAGTTTGAATAATTTTATGGTTGATATCAGATCAGTCAATTATGATTGGAAGAAAGTACAGAAAAAACAACAATAGAAGCAGCTACTTCAACATCTAGTTGAAACTCAGATGCGAAGTGGGTCCAAGTCTGATATATGTATATTCCTGGTTCTTAGCAGAAGACTGATAGACGTGTGTAAGGTTCGAGAATATGGTAAGGCTTCTGAAGTTAGCAAATACGAAAAATTCAACAGGGTTGAAACCATTGAATAGCCAATAAAATCATATACAAATGAACACATTGACGTCTTAGAATTTTGATGGACAACCTTTCATTTTCAGTTTGAAGTATCAGTCAGATCTAAATTAATTGCATCTTCTAAGGCCATTAATCACCTTTAAGCGTTGATTATTCTATATAACGTCTCAGTACACATGCACGTAAATTATACCAAGTGCTCAGATAAATATATCCATAACAGGTCTGTCAAAGTCAAGTCCAATGATAGTATACAGGGTGTTTATTAAACATGCGGCAAAAAATTAAGTGACTATTCCTAAGGATATTTTGTCCTCTGATAGGGCGCTTAATTAACGTAGACGAAATAAAAGTATAGCTCACTACTCTGGCCTACCAAGTAATCAAAATTTTAACAATTCCGTTGGTGCTTATCAACAACATTCCGATTACTACAAACGGCTGCATACATTCAATTTGTTGGGTGTAACGCAATCAGAAACGATCCTGGTGTTTTTGAAAGAGTTCGGGAGTCGATGAGGAGAAGATTGGATTCTTGCATCTGATCAGGGGGTAGTCATTTTCAATAGTTCCTGTGGATTAAGAAACATTACATGTAATATACAGTACAGTTTATTGTATGATTTTCACTAAAAAAGGGTTTTACTAAAACCGTGACACGTGTTTCGCTATACAATAGCTTCCTCAAGCATAAAACTTTGCTTTATAGTGAAAATCATACAATAAACTGTATTGATTAATTTTTTAATATGGATTTTCATCAAGTATCGGCCAATTGTATTCAATTAATAAATTGTTGTTGTCGAAATTCTCTTTCGCTTCGTATCTTCGAAACAAAGCGCCCTATTAAAAATCATCAACAGACAAAATATCCTTAGAATAGT